TTTTCAAAATGGGTCACCCTGTATATTTTGTCTCCAATGCTCGCAGCTTTAAAACTTCTCTATTCATTTTTACATTTTTAATAATTTTGTAACGTTTGATGCTCTGATTCTTGAACATTATTTGGCTTTTATATTTTTTATTTTATTTATAACTTCTTTTTCTTTTTTGAGATCTATCAAAAACAAACTCTTAAAATATATAAAGTTAAAAGTAATTATATGTTTAATATATGTGAAACCTATGCAACGAAAAACCAATAGACGAAGTTTTTGTCGACAGGCAGTCGACCTCGATGTCCGGCACAAATTTTATTGGGATTGCAAAGAATAAGGCAAGACGTGGAGAGGATCATTGCACATTAGAGAGAAAGATATAAAGAAGGTTGACATTAGTGACATGCGGAGATTGGAATTGGGTTAAAAGAATGAACCAAAGATTTGTAATGCCAAGGACCAATCTTTTCATTCGAAATCGACAATTGCCTTTAATTCCATCTGCAATTATTCACCTGGACAAGAAATATTGTCCGTGAAACAAGGGTGCCTTGTGATAAGTGAAACAAAAGGAGCACAAGAAACGCCCATATTAAGGGTTATTTAAAAAAAATACTATATTTAATCATGAACATTAAATAAACGAACACATACCACTGCATTTAAACACAATTGTCATCAAAATAACCAGATAAACGGATACTTGTTTAGTACTACACGCCATACTCCACGCCACGAGATGACCTAATGGGGACGATGGGTATAGACAAAGACATCGCACGACAAGCATAGAATGGGATGGGGTCACTCAATAACGAAGACATTTACTCCGATTTAGGTACAAGGGTACTAAATACGAGTTTATCAGGACATTTTATTTTACGGGTACCTATATTTGAGTGAAAGTACTCAGTTTTAGTTCAAATATCACAAATGAGTAAAGTTATTAAAATGCTCAATAATGAGTGAAAATGTACTCAATAATTTCACTCAGAGGATTCAGTCCGTATCTTTATTGCTTTCACTCACACCATTTTTTTACAGTGTAGTGTGCATATTATCTTATTTAACTTTGTAACTGTGCAGCATAAATAATTTGTTGGTGTGGAATGAGAACGTTGAATGTATTCTTAATATATTCTTTTATTTCGTCTAAACATCTCTACAGTTCAAAAAGAGATTGAAGTGCTGTCAAATATATATGTTCTCAGAGAATGTAAGCAGTGTAGGTCGGAAAACCGCTATATTTGTAGTTTCTCGTCTTAATATTCCGCAACGCCTTTATTTCATCATGTAAATAATATAAACTTTACTTCTGCTATGTAAAAAAGAAAATTGAAGCTAGGTCTAATTTTTTTGGGATTTAATGAAAAATATATAAAGTACATGTTAAATATATCGAAATATCTATAGTCATTGTCTTCATCTTTCGATATGTTAGGGTAAAATGTATTTAAAAGTTCGTTAAACTGCACTATCGATCTTGCTGGTTTATCAAACTAAAATCTACAAACATTTATTCACATTAGGATCAACCTAACTTATGATTTATTTTGGCTCATTATATTAATTCGATCTTCAAAATGTATTATCTCTCATTCTCTTTATTATAATGCAAAGAATGCAATGTAGTTACTGTGAAATTGATTCTCTGTAATAGCCTAATAAATCAACATGCGAGGACATTTTAATGTTTTTTTATCAAGTGAAACGTATTACGTGAGTGCGCCCAAGGAAAAGCGTAATAATGAGCTTTAAATTATAGTACTTGGAAATTTATGAGACTCGTTTACTTATCAGAACAGTTTTGCTTACTTATCTGTGGAGCATACAATTTTCTTTTATAGCTCTCTAAATCAATTATCTAAGAATACTATAGTCCTGTATGTTTTTTCAATTTAGAGGGCAGATATATTTAACAATGTTAACAAGTTTGAAGAACTGTATGCCAATTTGTTCAACGCAATTGAATAATGTTTGACATAAAGATATGTTTCTTAAAAATTTTTATATATCTTCGTCCAGAACTGAGAAGTGTTACAATCAATTGAAATTGAAATGGTTTATAAAACCTTCTACATATTCGTCTACTCTCATTGATTGAACAATCAAACAATCTGGCCACAATCTATTTACCCGAATATAGAGATAAACGAATTTATCTACTAAATAGGCCATATTTTAAAAGGAACATTCATTGATACCACTTTAAAGAAGATAGAAACAGTTTTTCGCGAGGTGTCAAGTCACTTAATGAACCTAAATAGTATCAGAATCCTAGTAGGAGAGAGAAGATTTTGGCCAAGATTTTACAGAGAAGCAATAATCTTGAAAAGTTTCTAGGAAGACGAAAACGCAGCTACCTGAAATATGGAAATTAAGGACTGAAACGGCAGACAGCAGTGTCTCCATACGATGCACTAAAACACAGTAATATAAACAGCTCCAGCTTCCAAGCTTTCTTTTCTTTATTGCTATTACTTTTATAACTTTTACATAAACTTAAGCAAGCAATCTTATTTGTTTTTTTGATTCATATTTATATTCTACAAATTAATATGTTGAATCTCGTGGTTTTAAATCCGAAAGAGTATATTGCTATATCTGTAGTACCTCAAGGCTCCACACTAGAGCCCTTATACTATTTGTTATTTTCAGATATGATACTGTCGAAATAACTGATGCCAATTGCCTTTTTATGCCGATAGCTTAAAATAATATGTGCAAGATTCTTTAAAACTAGAAGAAAATTTGAATAAGATACCGAGCTAGAGCCTCAAAAACATTTTAGAGCAAAACGTACGAAAATGTAACGTACTAATGAACAATTTAAGAAACTCAATGAGCTTCAAGACTTGCGCAAAATATTTGATACCATATTAAATTTTAACCTACACATGAACGCTTATCAGACCCATATAAATAATTTGGAAAGTATATAATGAAATCTCTTTAATATTTGTTTCCCACAAATGGATAGTTTGTATCCAGCTGTTGTTGTATATCATGAGGATAATGAGACATGCATTCGGTAATGTTTCTATTAAAACTGTTAATAGTGCTAATCGACCTTCTCTTTTGACTCAAATTGTGTTTTCTATCATTACATTTACAACTAGACATATTAACACTTCTTACTTATTAACACCAAGAACTAACTTACTAAAATGTTCACCTTAGTTTAATTTTCGTAATGATTATCAGCTAATATATTATAATATTTATAATAATATATGTTTTATAAATTTAAATTAATTTTATATGATTTTATCAATTAATCAATTAATTTTAATATCCTCTCAACAATAACAATAATAATATGTTATTAATTATTAAATAATATTTTTTTTTACTAAATGTAAATTTCAAATGACCCTGATTCTAATTCTTTAAATTTGATACTATTTAAATTAATAATAAAAATATATATTTTTTTTTATATAGAACATGAAATCAAATATCTCAAGGGCGGTTCAAATTTTGATAAAAATAAAATTTCAAAGTGTTTTTAACAAATCTAAACAATATATTACTTTTATATGTAATACATCAAATCAATTATTATTTAAATTGCCTGGAAAATTAAATTATTTAAGTACTAACTATACTATATTAACCAAAATTTGGTTTATTTCTCAAATGAAAACAGTGTGAGCAATATGATTTAAAAAAATTTAGAAATAATTACCAAATTTTGTTAATTCTTTATGTTCTATATTTTATCTATTTTAAATGTGAAAACAAAATTTTTATATATAACTAGAAGTGACGTCCACTACCACTAAGGTTTATTTGACTTTTATTATTGTTCTAATTTGACGTATTAATCAAATGTTTATTCTCTTACGAATTCAGTACTTTATGTTATACAAACATTATATCCCACTGGTCTTATAGTGTTTCTATATTCTGGATAATTCCTTTACTTGAATTCTAGTCCGTGTCTCATTGTTTTCCTTTTCTCTTATCTCAAAACTGCCAAATCTTGATTATATTCTAATGTTCTATTTATTTTTATTTCCTATTTGGAACAGTATTTTGGTTGAGAATATATCGATTCTCGCTAATTAATTTGTATTCTTTCCTTCCAATTATCTTAATTTTTCTTATGTCATATTATTATGACATCTCAGCACACCCCTCCCTTTTTTTCAATCCAAATCCGTTGCCATATAAAATTTTTATATAGTATCCCAGTTTGATTCTTTCTCATCTGATTAACTACATGTCTTGTTATTCACATCTTTTTAAATTTTGTATAACTTTCCTGTATTCACACACGTTTTACCTTATTATCTAAATTTTATATAATTTATTATTCTTTTGTTTACAATATTTCTATATCTAATAACAATATCTGTTTTATTTTAATTTTCCAAATGTTAAAATAAATAATTCTAATTATTTTTAAATTCTAAATAAAAATCATTTGAAATTCCTTATGTATTTCAATATATTTGACTAATATTAGATAAAAAACTGTATTTTAATAATCAGCAACATTTGGAATTTTAATACTTACATTTGTGTTGTATTATCTTGTATGTTTTTAATGTTTGTATTTTAACTATAGCACCAAGTATGCAAAGTAAATTAATTTACTGTCAATATATTTTTTTAATCCTTGTTGATTCTATGACAGATTTGATGATCCGGCATCTGGGAAAGTATTTGCTTCAAAAAGGCCTAAGCGATTTCTAGAAGATATTTTGTAAAAACGACGTAAGATATTCTTGACCGTTTTTAATCCATATAACAACCTTAATTCTATAAAAAATGCTCTTATTTACTTAAATTTTACTCTAAATTCCTTCGCAACCCTCTTCTCCCCTTCTACACCAGATGTCTCCTACTGCTTCCTGGCTTTAAACAATTCGAATGTTTTGCATGTTATGCAAATGGAAGCGGAATATATGTATGCAAAAATCCTAAAAAGGACAAATGTGGAAATAATTCTTTGTATTTAAATACCTTTATCATTACATCTTTCTTTCTTTTTTTTTCAGGTTACTGGAGTTGTTGGTAGAGCGGAAACGCTATCGTCCGTATTTTTTCTAGCAGCATTCATTTTGTACAGCAAAGCGTCAAGGAATAAGAAATATACAGGTAAGGTTTTATTGTTTCTATTTCATAAGAAAGCGTTTATTTCAAATCAACATAAATTACATTTTTCAAGTTTTGTAGTTATATATGTATAACTTTTTGTTATACGGATATTGCACTTTTAAACATACAGGTCATATACTAACGTCACAAGCAACTTATGAAGAAGTTTGACTGCTTAAAAGAACAAAGACAGCAAGGAACGTCCAACATGAACCAACATTATGCATATAATTAATACGCAGAAAGTCAAAACTAATAAAAAATTATATTTACACGCATGCATTTAGTAAGCTAAAGTAATCAATACAAATACAACATAAAGTAATTTAAAAGCTTATTTTATACTGAAATAAATCATCTGGTTTTAGTATTAACGTTTTTGCGATAGTGTTTACATTAGTTTTTCTAATCTCAACAATAGCTTACATGTTATAACGACTCGGAGTTGATGGATATCGTTTTAAGGCCAATTCCCACATAGCAGCGCCGCAGCAGCGCGGCGCGTCGCTGCAAATGCTGCTCCAAAAAATATCCATATTTTTAAATGGAACAGTTCCCACATAAGCAGCACAGCGCGGCAGCAGCGCAGCGCGTCAAAATTCAACGCCTTTGAGAGCGTTCCTTGCTGCTCTGACCTTCGTCGCGCTGCCAAGTGGACATTAGGAAGCAGCAAACACTGCTATGTCTTCGGCAAATCTTGATACATATCGCTCACTATTTGGCTGTGGGAGAGGTACCAGACGTTTCGTGGTGGCTGTTGGACTTTGTAATCACTAATTATATGTAGTTAGTAAATGCAGGTAGTTTGATTTTGTTAGAGTATTATAAAATTACTGACAAAACTCTACGTTTCTAAGTAGGATTAAAGCAATATTAATAAATTATATATCTAGGATATCACTAAACGAGGAACTCGACATTTTGAAAATAAAATACGTTCGTTCTATTAGATAGTCGGAACACTACTCCTAAAATATTAACCGCTGCGCTGGTGCTGCACTGCTAAGTGGGAATGCCTACCAAGTTTTTGCATCGCAGCGACGCTATGAAGCGCTGCTGCCGCGCTGCTGCGGCACTGCTATGTGGGAATTGGCCTTTATGGTGAAGCAAGATAACATTTGTTTTATGGTGAAGCAAGGCAACATTTGTGTTAATTCATATAAACTGGGTAAGACGTTTGCGGACAAAATTTTGTACAGTTGTTATAACATGAGGTACCTATGTCAATTTATTTTATTAATTAATAATAACCATAACGGCAAAAGCAGTTGACTTTGCTGATATAAAATAGGTGTTACAAAATTTTATTTATTTCTTACCTTGGGAAAGAAATTCTTTCCCAATTTTTTTTGTGGAGAAGTTCTGAATCACCCTGTATAGATTACCTATCTAAGACAAGTGCGGTTCTTTTTATGCCCTTAACAGAGGTGATTGAAGCGAATCGTACCGAGGGCGATGTCTTAGTGCCCCGTTCTAGTAAGAAACAATTGTGCCAGCTTTAAATTACTTACCACCTACCTCTACAACTTCGAAATATTGAAAAATACTATTCAATAACTTTACATAATTTGACCGAAGCTTGCGTGAGAGCAAAATGGAATGATAAATTAATGGGGAAATATTTGGTTGAGATAAGATTTTCGCTGATGACGATGAGAAGTAACATACTATTTGTGGAAATATATTGTCTTTTCTGTCGATTTCAAAATTTATAACATGGACATCACAGTTCGTACTGTACCAATTATAATTCATTTGACGATCTATGGCTTGCCGCAATTTTTTTAGAAGCGATTTTTGGAACAATCTCAGCGAGTCTGAATTAGCAACTGTATTAAAATGTATATCTACAATATTCCTAGATTTATTTCAGACAGTATAGATGGTATTTCAGAAAACACTATTTCAATTTCAGCTTAGTCATTTAATACGTATATGAGAGATCAAGTGTATTTCAGAAAACATTTGTATTTGAGTACCATACGGCAACAGATTACAGAATTTTAATGATGCATATTTTATTGCAAGTAAACATGTACACAATAACGCCCATGTTTTATTCATTTTTACGAAACGGATTGATCTCTAAAACTCTTATGTAGTATACAAAATTCATGCCAGACAATTTGTAACGATGTGATAAACGTAAATATAAAATTTTTGATCGATTGAAGATTACTGTACAGCTGTATTCACATAACATTCGACCTTCCTTCTCCTTTTTCACATTTCGGTCTAGAGAATTCAAGAAATTTTCTCGGGATCTCAAAAAAGTATATAAGAAGTTTTTAAAATACCATTGAATGTTGCAACTCTTCTCTATATTTTATTTTTATACAATATACAGGATGTTTCAAAATTCGCAGACATGTAGAGTGGGGGGGTTAATTTAGAGAAAAAACTGAATAGAAAACCTTATTATACTTTTTCGATCAAACAATTGCTTTTCCAGTTATCGTGATGTCCCAGAAATTTTAAACAGATGAAAGACAAACTTTAATATTAATTAATAATACAATAAATTTTAAAGATAGGTAAGGATGAATTTTAACTATAAAAACTGTTCGAAATGTCCACCACCTACTGCTAAGCATTCTTCTGCACGTGTATGCACTTGCTGAACTGCTGAAGAGTATTATTCTCAGGTGTTATTTCACGAACTAATAGAAAAATGCGTTTTTGTATCTTGTATGATCGAAAAAGTGTAATACGGTTTTATATTCGGTTTTTGCTCTATATATCCGACTCTCTGTGCCTCTTATTTGTTTTTGTCTGAAGTCAAGATTACCTTGGAACCAGTTGGTGAGTATGTATTTCGCCGTTCAATTTACTAAACTGGTCTGGTGACTGAGGAGGGTGAGGGAAGACAGTAATCCGATTTTTGGAATAAAGCTGAAGAATAGACAGAGTGTGCGGACGCATGATCTTGATGCAAGAACCATGAATTGTCTATTATTGTCTCTTTTTCTCACGTAACCATTGTAAAACGGATTGATAGTAAACATGGTTCACTGTTTCACCTTGAGGCTATAATTCAAAATGCACAATTCCATTAAATTGGATTGGATTGTTCTGGGAATTGCCGCCAAACGTCCATAAGACTTTCTTTCTGTTGTTCACTCATCAAACGAGAAACAAGTTTTGCTGCAACTTAATAGATATTCTATTTTTTAGTCAAAATTGCATTTGATGACCCAGTTGAGATGCTGTATCAGTCACGCTCACACCAGATCTTTGACTTTCTGATTGTGGGTCATCAGTTGAAGTCGAAGGCCTTCCTGGTCGATGATCATCTTCAATTGACTAACGACCACTTTTAAATCGTGAAAACCATTCGTAATATTGCGTACGATCCAGAGCATCATCTCCGTAAGCTTGTTTCAAAAGTTGAGAGGTTTCCGTGAATTTTTTCCCAATTTCACGCAAAATTTTACCTTGCATGGTTGTCACGAACGGAACGCAACGCAATGCTGCCAACTACATGTCACTGAATATGTATTTCCATTAGCGCGTAATTCAAAAAGTTCGATTATTTTCTGAAAAGAACTCATACCTTCGTTCCGTTCTAGACAAATGACATATTACTCCAGTCGGTGAAGGCTACAAAAACAAGTAACTAGCAATATGGCTGATTTTTTTATAAGTACTTTATGGTATGCAGATTAATATAAGAAAAAAGTTCATTGGTCTATCGATTTCCCAAAGTCCAAAAAATTTTGAAAAACATTTTGATTATGGAAATTCTTTATATTTTATTAGTAGTTTGTATTGAAGTGCCACATTTACACTTCCCTGTTCACATTGAACAATACATTTTTGGCATTGCGACTCCGTCTTTCAAATCGAGACATTCCTCTCCAGCATAAATATTTCAAAAGTATTTCACTCAGACTCAAAATCGAGTTTGCATAAACGAATCCTCGAAATAGTTGTCAAGGGCTATTTCTGAATGCAGATTTCACACGATTTGTCGGTGATTTCAGTTCAAGGAGATACCTTATAGACATTTAGAGGCACTAACGCCTTGCAAATACAGATCGCTATTCAGTGGGACGTATTGGATTTGAGTTTTCGTTGTTCAGTATGCATAGATTTTTGATGCGTCTTGTACGGGGTGCTTCAAATAAAGTAATAGAAGTGGGAAAATTTTTAAGTTGCCATAACGTATACCTTTAGTTTTAATGTTACGATAATTTTCTACCGTCCGTCGTGATTTTTATCATCTACTTCATTTAGATCGAACATCTAATCGCTACGTCCAATCGCGTCAGTTAATTTACTTATGACTGGTCTACTGTTTTTGATTAGCTGCTAAAAGTCGACTTTCTCCAGAGGTAAACTTATACGCACGTACGCCTTTTGTTATCGTTTCAAGGATAATGACCAATAGGAAATCAATTGCGTTTCTCCTTAAAGGGGATTAAATATTTATAAATGGTATGGAAAAGTGTCAATATTTGTCTTAATACAAAAAACATTTTGTGAAGACGTTGCAGAAATTGCGGGCAAAAGTGTAAGTATATATTGTCAAATAACACCTATAATTACAAAATATTGATCGATTTTGGGTATGGAAGAATGTAAGCCGTTGGAAGAAGTTAAATGATATGTATTGGAAGAGGCAGGAGAATATAAAACAAGGAATGGGATCGGCGGCTAGAGAGATGAAGAAATGGGGGCACGTGGATACACTGGCCTTCCTACAAAATATAGAGAGTTGTAGAAAGTAAAAACGTTTGTTTTATGCACACTAAAATTAGTTTCAGAATACTACACCTGTCAAGTACTTAAATGCTAATAGAAATATGAATTTTCGATAATACCTGTTTTTTTTTCTTCTCTCAATCTTTACACAGAGAAAATAAAATCAAGTTTTCATCCTCTTTCTTATATAACAAGCATTGATAACAGACAGCATTTCCATTTCGAAAAAATCACATTACTATCTCGATTTTTAACATGCTTAAAATGGACCAGACCTTATGAATAAATCGAGACGT